TTTTGTCTTTTTCCGTGTCCGGCAACGGATCGCAACCCTCAGTGTTGCCCCCGTACCGGACCGGGGACCGGCAACGGGATCGCAACCCTCAGTGTTGCTCCCGCGCCTTGCTCAGCCAGTGAGCGGGAACCGGTCTGTATGTGGGATCCGAACCCTCGGGCGGGAGCGCCGCTGCGCTTCCCAAGCGGCGCACTTATCCAGTGCGCCACCGGGCCGGCCCAGAGATGTTTGTTTTTTAAACATAAAAAACAAACCAGTAAAATTAAAGAAACCATGAAAGAATTATTTTTAAGTCATAAAGGAGGGACAAGTCTTTCTAATGATGACACAAAATCAGAATAAAAGACTATTTATTGAATAAAAACATAAAAGATCAAATGTGACTCCAAAAATTCCTAAAGAGAAGAAAACACAAGCCAAATCAAAATATAAAGGATAAACTAGTTTAAAAGATTTTATTGCACTTTGTATCACAAAAGGCAATTTCCCTAACAGATAAAGATAACATGCATGGTTCAAAAAAGATGCAGACAACCAACCAATCCGTATGTAAAAGCAAAGAATTTAAACAAACACTTCACAGGAAGGGAAATACTAAAATTCAACAACAGAAATAGAGATTAGTAATGCAATGAGATACCATGTTCACAAAGCAGGTTGGTAAAGACAAAAGGTTTTGATAACAGTCTTGCAGCAATGCTACAGGCCAAACTTGGGAAACTACAGCCCAAAGCCAAAAAACATACAAAAAAGATTTTGTGACAGAGACCACAAGTGGGCTGCAAAACCTAAAATAACAGAACATTTGCCAACCCTTGTAATCAAATACTGGTAGGAGTGCAAGCTGGTACAAAACTAAAAAAGAACAATTAGGCAATATATACCTCTTGACCCAACAATCCAACTTTTAAGAATTTTTGCTGCAGATACAATCTTCCAAGAGATCTATGAAAAAGAAAATTTATGGCAGCAAAAGACTGGAAACAGCTTATCTGTCCATCAGTGAGGCTAAATATTTTACATATGTAGGGTAAATGCAGGACATAGCCCTATTCCTCCCTCCCTGTACAAACCAGAGTTTCCCCTCTCCCCTGGGAGACTACCCCTGGCCAAGGTAGTTACCCAAGGAAAGGCTTGTCCTCCTTAAAACAAACAGGAGGCTGGGGGGAGCAGGGACCCTAAGTAAATGAACAAACACTCTGGTGCCAGGAGAACAGCGAGTAGGTTAACTTATCTACTCAGCTAGATCTCCCGTGCTATCTGAGTTATGTGAGCTGGGTGAGGATCTGAAAGTAAGCCTGAAAATGATTCACACCCCTACTCTGATCTGTTAACTATATAACTGTTGTATGTACTCCATGGCAGCGCAGATTTTCTGACCAACAGGCCACCACTGGTACCTCTCGTAAGTCTAATAAACCAATGTCTCTACCCATTGGATCTGCAGGTGATTTCTTTGGAATAGGCAAACACTACACAAGTGCCCTCTCAGATCTGGGGCTCCTGCATTACAACATACCTACAATGGAATATTATGTAGTTGTTTAAAAAGAATGAGGCAGATTTATATGAGTTCCCAAGATCTACTAAGTAGAAATGTCAAACCGAGGAAGAAAAAAATTATATATTTATTATTAAATATTTAATTACA